TGGCATACCTCCGAATCCCTCTCTGTAATCCTCCCAGTCCCTATAGAAATTGGTGGTACCATCCTGTCGCTTCTGAATCAACGTCCAACCGCTTTTCTTCATGTCGCAGTGTACTTGAATTAGTCTATTGGTGCCATAGGGTCGAACCTTATAGACACCATTCCTCATGTTTCCTTTGAGAAAGTAATCGTAACAATCTGTAAAAGAAGTTTAACAAAATACAGAAAGATAAATACAAGTTACGCTGATGAATAAGCATAATCTGATGAAACTTGGTATCATAATTTGATACGAACCTTTTGGGTCACTTTGTCCATCTGCAACATACTTTACTGAGGTGTTTTTTTTCCTTTTGCTATATCAGTTTTATGTTCTTTATTTTCTAGATTCGTACTCTCGTTACTGTTTTCTTTATTCTTCTGTAATTCTTGTAATTTGGCTTTATCACCAGGATGGTCAACATATTTTTCGTTTTTATGTGAGCCGCTCATATCACTTTCGTTTCTACGAATTGTATCTTCTTTCACATGTTTTGTGACAGAATTTGGGTGTACCTCGCTTTTCATTTTATTAATATTTTCTTAGCTTTCTTTACCGAAATCAGATTCCCTTGTATTCATACTTGTTTGTTCTTTTGTCATATCTTTTTATTCGTTTTGTACATTTTTCTTTGTCATAGTTTGCTTTAGATCAAGTTCTTCTATGGTCTTTTCCATAGCCTTTAAAACCTCCTCTTCATTGGTTTCATTGTATTGATCAACATGGAGGATATTTTTGTCTTCCTTTTGAACACTCGTCATATCATCAGGATCAGGCGGCTGTACATTTTGTGAAGTTTCAGAATCCTGTTTTGTTTGATTCCTTTTGTTCATTTTTTGGAATGATTTCTAAACTTTCTGGTTCATTGTCAGATTCAGAGTACTTCATCGGGCTTTCTGATTCACAATTAGCAAAAATAAAAGGTGAGTACGGTGCACACTCGGATATAATAATAAAACCCTTGAAACAATGTGTACAAGAGTCACACCATTCCTGAAGTTTGACAGAGGTGTAATGTAAATACTCCTTTAACTGTTCATCGACGTCATCGTCTTGGTCTTTTAGTTATCCAACAAAAGACGATTGTTCAATTATTTCACCGCTTTCTAGTTTTTTATCTGAAACTAGATCGTCTAGTTGCTGTAGCAGTTGGTTTGAGAGATCATCGAGATATGATTCCTTTGAGTTTGTGCCTGGTGGATCTACCAGTCCCTGACTTGCCTGGTTATTTTTTAATTCTCTGACGTCTTCTAAACCAATTTCTAACTTTTGCTTCATTTTTTCTGCTGTTTCATGTTGTTGTAGAGTTTGTTCAGTAAGAGATTGTACTTTAGTCATAATTTGTGACATCAATACAGTTTGGTTCATGACCATCGCATACAACATTCTGTTTTGGTCATCAAGACCCTCGGACCGATTCTTTAATTTATCTATCAGGTTTTGAAACTTCTCTGACAGTTTTATAATTGTTTGCTGTTGTTTTTTTTTTAGAAGTTGGTCGTGATTTAGTTTCTGTAGAGAGTAACTTTGAGAGATTTGTCTAGTTCTAAGTATTTTCGTTGAGTTTTCGTCATTTTCAATTTTCATATAATGGAAGCTTTGTTTCATTCTTTACAGCTCGTTCTCTAACCTAAGAATGCTATTCTCTAGTCTTGCTATGGTACTGGAATGGTTTTCTTTGTTCAATTTTTCCATTGACATACTAGTATGATTTTAAGCTTTATCCTATCTAATTCCAGAATATTTTTTTATATTCTTCCGTTTTCAAAGACACCGTCTCCCAAAACCTTTGTTTCCCTGCGATTTATGTTTATTGTTGGTTTATCATTCGACAATCGAGCATTATTTAGTACTTTGCCGCATCAGTAACAGCATTATCACTTACTGCTGGAATCACTATAATCATCATCTACAAAAACAAGAAGAGATGCAAAGAAGTAGACCAATCATGGTAACAAACAAACACTCTCTCTTGAATTTACAAGCACTGACTCCTACAGGTATTTTTTTTTAGTTCTCTCTCTCTCTCTCTCTTTCTCTTGATTTAGATGAGTTTAGTTGTTTGATTTTAGGCTATCTAACTACATAGATGTTCGAAAACATGACTCTCAGACAAAACTTGTGTAAGTATCGACTTTCATATATAAATGCGTTAAAAATTATATTACATTAGATATAGATTAGAAATACATTGGGAAAATGACTCTAAAAAAATTGTTTTCCAAAAAGCTGTAATAATTATGAAAAATCCTGCAAAGACAGTGTAAAATTATGACACGTTATTGAACTGATATACTTTATAATGCCTTGAACATGCTGTGTAGACTTTTTAGGTAGATCGGAGTATGAATCAAAAAAGGAATTAGTCCATTTCGAAATGGTGGCAATTTTCCTATCCTTAGATTTATTTTTGATTTTAATTTCTCCATCTTCAAACACAAGCTGGATCTAAATGCAATAACTTACCGAGATCTATATATTAATTTTTCAATTTTTTTTACCTGTGTTGTCAAGGGTATATGTTACCCTCAAGACCTGCTGTAATACTAACTAGTGGATGCGCGGCTTATAAGCAACATTTTAGTTGGCGGAGTCGTAGAGGACTGTTGCGGCTGAGGCATTGTTATATCCATGGACTTGGCCTTGTATGTGACATGTAGGCCACTGGAATGAGCAGATAACGCTTGGCTACCACTTTCAGCATGCTGAATTTGTGCAGAATCTTGTATTGGTTGTCTTGGGGCGCCCAGGAACCTGGTACACGTGCAGGGGGTCTGGCTTAAGGCGGTTTCGCCTTGGTTCCCCGTGAGGAACCCACTCTCAACAATCCCATGCTAATTTTCTTGCAAATAATTAATAAAACCAACAACAAGTTTCTTATTAGTAATTATTCATATTTAAACATGCATTCATTTAATGAAGTATTGAAAATAAAACTCTCTTGTTTTACATTACCATTTTCTGAAAAAAATAATAAATAAATTTAAAACAAATTTATCAAACATGAATTAATATGTTTGCTTTATGGTATTTTAATGCTTAAATTGCTTTAATTGATAATAATTAGCCAATGACACTTGATTTTCTCTCCAGGCATCAATGCTTTCGTCTGTTATGAACAAGATGGGAAGTTGAACAGACCTAACGCATGCACATCAATGCTCGTATAATATAGACCATAGAATCGTAATGATAGAACCGGAATTCCGGAAAACGGGTTGCACTGGGAAGCTATTTTTATTTTTTAAATAGAAGGCGATAAGCGTCATTCTAGACACCCGTGTTTATCTTTTAAGGATAAATCTGATTATGTACATGATATCCGCTGGATAAAATGGTAATAGAGGATACTGTACATTTATTGAATGATAGTGAGGGAAATATGAAGATTTATTCAGCCGAGAAAAATCATATTCCCAGAGGGCTTCGCCCAAGAGGAATATATGATATTTTTTGGCTGAATAAATCTTCATGTTCCCCGAACAGTCACGCAATGAATTGTTTATTATACCGAAACAAGCAAAAACTTTTATTAGATAAACATAAAATTTCAAATTCGGCACCGCTCTCAAATTCACTTTTATTTTTAACGCACTTTCACTTTGACACATCACTAATCAGCAATTTTATGACGTAATTTTGATGTGTCTTGGCTATTGTGATGTTTTGGGAGTTTTTTTTCAACGAACATTGAAAATATATTGCGGGAAAATGCACTGGGTATCCGAAGAGGTTGAATATGATGAAAATCATGTCGATGACCGTGAAATGTGAAGTTTTATGGCCCGATCACGAAATAATCTAGAACCAATCAGATGACGCGTTGTGTAGAATAATTATACATGTAATGAGGTATAATAAAACAAGTACATACTGACAAAAAGTCAGAAATACTCAAGCTGTAGAATGCCAATTAGGAAGTGTCAGTAATATCCTAAAATGTTATAAGATTCAATCTTCTGTTGAATAAGCTACATGTACATGAAACAAAATTCATATATTGAATTTAATTAGAAGAAATATAAGTAATCTACTACTTTTTAAGATGAATTTACGTGACACACTTTCAGGAATATTTTATAGAGCATAGTAACGTTACCGTTTCTTAATTTGATGAAATATTTTTTTAATCATAATGTAGACATTTAGTATACTTCAACATGTTCAATCGATATACGTTTTTTTTTTTGTATTTTTTGCTTAATGACGTACATCACATTCAGTATATACATCAATCTAAATAGCTTGCTACAAGCCTGTAGAAAAGTTTTTCAAAGTGGAAGAGGGGGTCTCGGGTTCCAACAAATCCACGTGACTACGGGTTCATCCATCGTTGCAAACCACTGCCAAAATGAACGATGCTCTTCTACTCCAGACCGTGTCTTGAGACGAGGAGGTTTATGTAGCTGAGGGACATGTCCAATACATATTCCGTACGAATCCAAAAGAACTTATTATGATATAGGTTCCGTTACCAAAGCTTAAGATACTACGAGAATTTAACATTGATTTTGTGCTATTATTTTACTGTCATCGTTTGCAGGCCCGTGAATAGCAATTTCAGTTGAGGGGTACAGCCATACATTTTCTGGCCATGCATTGTAGAATTTGTTAACGATAGGGTAACTTGCGCACCTTTCAGAGTCTGCAGTGGACTCGTCCAAAGATGCTTTGTCGGCGACTGTAAAAAGTTACCTGAGATTCCTACGCAAAGAAAAGCGCGAAATCTCTGTATAGAAACTGTTGCGGCTGCGGAGCTTCACTCATTGTTCATTCGCCGTAAAATAGAATCCGATATATAACACTTAATATCTTTGAATATACAGACGTTTTCAAGATAAGCTTCATTTTTGTTTCTAGAAATCTTTTTATCTACAAAAATAATATATTTTTGTGTTTTTAACCTGAGTAAAATGATGACCTAGCATCGTTTTAGATAACTCAAGCCCCTCTAGGGCTTGAGTAAATATATAGTGATTACAAGCATGAACATGCAAAAGAAAGTTTTGGTTTCACTCAGATGTGTTGATGTTGACCTAAGGCTATTAAAGATCTCTCGTCTGCCACGCATCTGGTACCGACAAAGGTGACAGCATTGATATCTGCTAGGCTGGACAACACGGATTTCAGTACTGCGTTATCAGCAGGCATGTTGTTCTGTATGGCGCATGAGGCAGGGACTGCTGGGTCCATCAGCACACAGTCACGGTATACTATATCAGCATTTACAGTGGCTGTAACAAAACACAGACAAGTACTGGTCGTCATCATAAACTTACTACACATTTACTGGTAATACTAAAAGTATTGTTATATCGGGGGTAGATCTTAGAGGCAAAAGACAGAGATAAATTAATTTTATTCCTCACATAATTCTATGTTTTGCAGTAATAATGTATACGATAACTGCGAAGTAATAATTATGGTGAAAGGTGAAAAAGGTTCCATACGGTGTGTTCGTTAGTTACCAATTTTCTCCTACTGGAGTTCCTAAGCTTTTAATTGCATTTAACAATTCGGCAAGACTCGTGTCTGTTGACAGCTACAAAGTTTAGGAATTCGACTTGAAGGAAAAAGCAGCTTGCCTGTATAGCAAAGTAAATTCATCAGAATGCTCATTTTTTTTAAAAAAAAAATATCATTTCTTACTTCCTGTTCAATATACAGAATTTGCGATAAACCTTTCAAAATGTTGCAAATCAGATCTGCAACCAATCAATTTACATGTCTTAAAATAAATCAGATAATCTTACGGTTGATGAGTGTTAGGTCAATTTGCACGGTGACGGTGCCGGTGTAGGTCCCACACTTGTACACCTGTCCTGACGTTGGATTGCTGAGGCACTTGACCAAACTCACATCATCGACTGTTTGTCCCGGAGGGGTATTGGCACATTGAGGACTTTTGGGTAATACAATGCTTTGGAGAAATGAAGGGACCTCCTTGATAACCACGTGAGTACATTTAGAGCATTCCAGTCCTAAATAAAACAAAAAACGGCTTTGTAAATAAAACACATAAACTCTTTTCTTACATTTAAAAATTACTACAAGAATACTTCTCTAAAAATCTGATTTACTTGCAATTAGTCAGATAAGGACACTATCCTGGCTACATGATTGAATTATAAATTACTCAGTAAGTGAAACTGAAAGACATCTGGTTCCTTGGTTCCTCTTACGTTTTTGCAGAATCTACATCATCTGTTTGAAAATGTTTATTGTTGTCCTGTAAACTATAGTAGAGGTTTACGAATTGTTTTTCTTTTTCATTGCGGAGCCAAAAAAAAAAATTCAAAATAGTTTGATTTTTGTTCTATAAACGTTTGCTCGATCAAATCCATTCACATTTTCAATTGTCAATTCATATTCTGGAGTATACTTTAAAGGGTCCTGTAGAGTGTCATCAGGTTACTGAATTTCGATTAACTAGTAATAGTTGTGGGCAATTGAAAGGCGGGACAAGTTTTTTTTTAAATATAATTATATATACTGTATTATATCAAATATAATGGCGATTAAATCTAATGAAGATGGGTACAAATTTGTACACAGTGACACTGAGTTGTGATAATTGTATCCTAGGGGCATGTTTTCCAGTCTGTAACGAGTGTTTTCAAGCATAATAATTTTTTCTGTATATCAGTTTTTAAATCCTCTAGATATCTCTGTGAAAAGACATAATTTTTAATACATTTAAGTCAGAGTCATACACGTCGTATGGGCATTAATAATGATATGTTTCTGGATGTAGTTAAGGATATTTAAAAATGGTGCCTGGTGCTATTTCTTAAATTGATCAAAAAGGAAAGATATCTACAGAAGACACGATAAACAACCGATAACATGGATTTTTAAGAAAGTCTGAGTGAAAGAGGACAAGGTTGTACATGTAGTTACGTACATATGATTACAAATCATGATGATTTAAAAAGGAAATATGAATTAATTTACATAAAATGCCGGTATGGCTGTCTTTAAAGACCAGGGCTTTTTAACATCTCGTTGTATTTGCAGTTCATATGAGGAAAACATCAATAATCATACTCCATTTTATACGGAATGTTTCCTTAGTATATTCTAAACTTTTAAAAAGCCTTATGTACCGCTATGATGAATTTCAGGAACAAGGAAACAGAATTAAGGGTATAGCCAGTATTTCCAGCTCTCAGTCTTCTAGATGAAATTTTCGGTTGTTTTTACACTTCGGTTGTAAACTAACAAATCCATATAAAACGTATTATCAAAATACAAGACTAAATCTTAATCAATGTACAATATGAAAATATGTCCTCTTATTTCCGAATTATAACCCACGAAATTTGTATTTAAGTAAAAAAAATAATCATTGTGTTTCTCTTTTTTTTTTTTAACAGGGGAAGAGCAATACGCCAATTAAATCCTGTTTACGAATAAACCGCAATTGATGAGATAGCAGGACACGAAGGAGAAAAAAATCTTTTCTATGCAAAGAGACAAAAGAGGATTCGTGTTAATATTACGAACCAGTTCGTCCTCTAAGAACCTCAACGATATTCTTAAAAAGAGATTGCAAGGCCTTATTCAAACAAAAAGGGGGGCAGAAGTTCTAAAGGAGACGTCTTTGGCTACCTAGAGGCGCTCAAGAAAATAAAATACTGGCAGTTAGAACCTGTAGTGGCATTACAGCCCCTGTCTGCGAGATAAATCATGTCAAAATGCAGGAAAAGCATGTCAACATTATCAACAAAACTATGTCTACAATAACTATCTCACACGTTGAGTCAATAAGTAGCATGTCAAAAAAATAATCTTTCATGGTTACATATATCTTGTATTTTTGCATAATTTTCTCATATGTTAACATAATTTCAAAAGTGCATCTTTGCATAATTAAATTACATATTGATAATAAGTTGAATGTCAATATAAATAATTATAAGTTGCATGTCAACAAGCCGCATGTCTTACTGAGTACATATATTTATATCGCATTATATGGCACTAAATCCCACTGATGTTTCAGAGGTCCAGGTTTGCTCTGTTCCTGATTTGTACTGTTTGATTGGACGTTTTAGCTTTTATACTTTTCGTTATGTCCATTTTATTCATTTTATCAATTCATAAAATAAAATAAAATATATTCATCTTCTTTTATTTTACACACAGTCAAAGTTTGGCTGAATTTTTTTTTCATTTATAATTATTTACGTGAAAAGAATTCGTTTAATTTTGAAAATTGCACTTTTCCTCAGTACACCAAACCAAATCGTAAGCAATCCAAAGAGGTCCGAAAATATTTCATATTAACTAATTTTTAACATACAACATGTAGATTTATTGATATAAAGTGTAAGTTGATTGTTCCTGTAAGTGCTTTATATAATTTCTGTCCATGACTTTGTATCTATTAGCTAGTTCCGACCAAATAAAAAATACAGTGATCTTGTTTCACATAAGTGTATGTATGTAATTGATGAACAAGGCAACACAAGTAAATAATTAGTCTCTCTACTTGATTATTAGTGACTCACAGTACAGGATCTAGTAAGCAGAAAAGATTTTTTCTCGTTTCCTTCTAGAATTTCTGAACCATAGAGTATTTACAGAGACTAATTTGCCTTCTGTGTTTTTGTAAGTAAAAGCACTTATACAAAATTAGTTTGAAGCATGCACATTTTACTTACCACTTACTGTGTCCAAGACAGTTAACAGAACAATAACCAGTGATGATAAATCCATTTTAAAATCTGAAAATAAGAGTTAAAAATATAGAGATATTAACCATAGTATCTTTCATAAGTTGTCGCTATCCACTTCTATGTATATGATGAGTCATTGTCACAATGAAGAAGTGTTTTCCGCGTAAGGGCCACAATATTTTGTACGATGTGATTATCCATAAGGGCCACAAGGGCGTAATCATTGAAGCAGAACAGTGTCTAATTCTTAATAAGATGCAAGTTGTTTCCTGGTATGGGGTAGGGGTAAAGATTTCTGTCGTTTCTAATCCCTTTGATAAGCACTTCTCCTTTACTTGTTGTAATATACATATCCTATGAATCTACTAACCTTGAAGTTCGTTAGTGAGTATCACCGATATATGGCAAACCGTTAACAAGTAGCCCTATTCACATGCGTTTATTTACAGGTGTAACTTTTACATGAATGCAAATCTTTCCTGTTGGTGTGTGAATGTTAATTTTTGCAATATGTTCAAGTGCACTCACTGTTTGAATGTATTACAGTATGGTGTTTGAACTGTTAAAGTATTCTTGGGCTGTATAGTTGTTCTTCATCTCAGTGTTCCTTCCATATCGATGCGCCAGGAAAAGAAATACTATTTCTTGTTTAAATGACAAATTAGTTTGACTTAATAAACAGTGGATTGTCATGTTTCTTTCTAATATAAACAGAGCATATTTTAATGAAATCGATAATACTATATTTTATCACTTACCGATACATGTATTTCAAAATTTTAAAACTATTGGAAATTGGCCGTCCTGCGTTCACATAATTGAAAATGTATCAGGGTAAATTTATGGAAAGTTATTTTTCAGCTAGGTGGATAAAACATGAATTTTGCACTAGGAGGAAGAATGGCTCACATGCATACAATTCTTACTCATGACCATTCTCATCCAATCTGCGCTAAATTATACTGAATCATGAATATGTAAAATTTGTTCACCTTGAGAAAAAGGCGTATGTGAACGGTAATAGATCTTAACAGATAGGTAAAGAAAATTTAATTGAATTTATCTCGTGTAAAGATTTTTTTTCTAATTTTATAGAAAAAAATACGTACATGTTTAATTTGAAGATCGTGTACATGTTTATAGTTAAATCTAATGATAGAACAAAAAAAAAACACTTAGTGAAAAATATTTTAACGATAAATAAAAAAATATTCACTTCAATCAAAAAGTTGAGATTAAAGAGTGTATAATTTCCATTGTATAACGAAATGTCTCAAACTTCTTACATTTTAAAAAAAAATAAATTCTGCAGCATTCTAATAACAAATATTATACATGATTTTTTCCTATAAAACGCCTGCAAATTATCGATCCTAGTTCATATATGAGTTCAACGTTTTTTTTTTAGTAAAAAAAATATATAAGATAATTAAGTTCAAACTCCTAAAACTCAAAAGAATATCTACCTTAAAATTTGTTAATATTTTTAACTCATTTAAATAGCATTGAAAAACGAGTTATAGAATATGTAATATTAAAAAGTTACCCTTAAACATGCGCAACACAAGAGATAACCAAATAGAAAAAGTTTGTACCGATATCTCTGACTACAATTTGCGTGTGGCGCATCAGATTGTCCTGCTCTTCTGTTTTATTGAGAAAATATTTCCTGTAAACAATGCTTTCATAATTTTTTTGTGTGAAACGCTCAACAATGCTTAACTTTCTATTTCAGACGTTCATCTTTAACAGGGAAATATGATTTTTAACATCAAAAAGCCCATATCTGTTGTTTAGAGTTTATGATTTTTCTCCAAATAAAAAGTATCCAAACATATGCTATCAATACTAGTATGTCAAACTCTATGATATTTTTGATTTTGAATTCATATGGATATATCAAATCAATGGAGGATTGAAAATAAATATAAAAAAAACTGAAATAGCGTCAGTATATGGATACTTCTTTTTTGTAGAGGTTTGTGGAATAATTGTTTACTAAATGAAATCATGCAAAAAAATAGTTCTGCTAATAATGTAGCAAAATTCCCCTGGAAATTCCGATAGATTGTTCGAAGACTTAATCTTCAAAAGCTACAAAGATATTGTTGATCAGAAATTTTAGCAACTTTGAAAAACATGATTTACAATAAAGTATCTGTCTATGTTGTCAAAAGTCTGGTCTTTAATTGTTGTACAAAGTGTTGAAAATTATGTCAAACTTTTTGATGAAATTGTTTTGGCAAAATTTTGCAAAGATTTCCTGGTTTTTTTATTTAGAGTTTACACCATTTTTAAAATAGCGTAGGTCGAGGAGTCAATCGGATAAGACTTTTTAAAAGAGACGATTCACGGCACGATAAAGATTCTCAAAGATTCTCAATGCTCAATGAACCTGAGTGCCAAGTAAAGGCCAAAAGGACGGTATGTCATACGTACGGTCCCCAGTTAACTGACAAAAAGTTAAACATCTCAATTTTACTTTAATCCTTGATATGTTTACCCTAATGGAATACGTACTTCTTTTAACAAAAAAAAGAAACCTAATTTAATGATATATATCTTTATTGTGAGGAGGGGTATCGTGTTAACAACAAGCTCCCATTTAAATCTGGCCCCGTCCCCCTATTGAAGCATTAAATATGTTAGCACAAAGAAATACAAATTTCTCCTTTGGCTGCCCACTGTATTTTATCGAAATCTACACACTCGTGTATGCGTAAGGGAAAACTTTCCCATTATGAACAGAACAAGGAAAATAATTTTTTTCCGATGTAAGAATAAATTCATACGCAATTGTAGGCACCGACATGACTTTCTAACTGACCATTTAGCTTATAGTGGTATTACTATTGAGCAATACAAACATACTAAAAAATTTAATCCTAGAAAATGAGAACTAGTATTTTTATACTTGCTTTCCAAAAGGCAATTTTATATACATTTCAATCACAGATTATATACAAATCTACAATATCCATGCTCAGTATTACAAACATTTGGTCTTTTGTACACCTACATTTTTTTAGTTTTGTAAGGCGATTGGTGGACAATTGTCTCCACGTACAAACTGTAAAGAAACAAAACAAATATTGAAATAAACCCCTTGAAAACTTAACGTTTATCGATGAGCTTCTCGTTTTTTATTTCATGAGGCCGCAAACATTGCCTTGGATCTGTCTCCAATACAAATATTCCATCTCACTTAGTAAAGATCTGAGTGTGTCTCCCCAACATCGTCTTCATTCATCATTTTCAACATCTTCAAGGATTGGATACTACAGAAATTGGCAGATTTCATCCAGTAAAACTCTTAAATCACCTTAAGGATGATTATCAGTGGATCTCTAGGAGAGGAATGCCCATCCTTAAAATTATTAAATGTATCAGTGGGAGACAACCTTCATAAGAGCTGCAGATTACTGTAAAACGTCCTTCAAAAAATTCTGCTGAATGAAATTTATGGAGATAACGAACAGTTTTCACGCTCAAAAGTCAATTCAAACAAAACAAATAGAGGCAGTGCACACATGGACCTCTAAAACATCAGAAGTGGGAGCAGGTGCTATGGAGGAGTGAGCATATTCTACCGATCGGTCACACCCATAACGTGCTCATTTTCATGCTCGGTCAGCATTTGACCTAAAGATGATTGTATTTGATGATAAGGTCTTTGTGTCGACTCTGAAAACTTAAAAATTGACTTTAAACGAGATTAGTTGTCTTGTTTTGTCAACTTCTTTGTCAATAACTTGTCTTGTTTTAGAAATTGTCCATGCGTATCTGGAGCATGTTTTTAAGTATCTGATCAATTGAGAGATATGACGTCTGTAAACAAGTGGAAAGGGCATATTGCTATATTTACATATATAATTAGGGTAGGCTTAACGATTGAAAAGTTAAAATATCTAAATTCGAAATAGATGTATAAGACTGTGAAACCTTTAATTTGAAGCTCGCTAAGATATATCATGTCAACTTATGAATGGAAATAACTATTGTTAATTCAGTAATTAATTAAGTATTGGAGAAAACTATTGTTACTTCATGTAAATAAAATGTGTGTCTGCTAATAACATGTTGCAAGTGGCACCCGTGGGAATTCCAATAGATTGTTGGATACCTGGTCTCCAAAAACTACATTAATATTGGCAATGAGAAAAACAAGCATCTTTTAATATCAACTTCAGATTATTTGTATGCACAGCAAGCTAGATTGTTTTTACAAACAAAAAAATCTTTACTTACTCATACTAAATTTTCTTATAGGAGGCATAAATATTCATGTATTAGGATATTTAACTCGTGTCATTAATTATTGCTCTCTGTATGAGCTCCACCAAATAAACTCATATTGTTCCTATAGTCGGGTCAAATCTTACGTGATCAATACATGTGTTAATAACTTGAACATTTCATAAAACGTTGATATAAAATGAAATGTGTAATGCATTGTGGATAGTTCTTTCATTTAATGCGGTAATACTTTCTGATATTTATGTCACTTTGCGCTCTAAATTCGGCTTTATTTTCTTCTCCACGTGTTTAAGTGAATAGTTTGTGCCAGTCCAGGGTTTCCATGTTACACCATCATATTTTTTATCGTCAATTTTCCCATTTTTATAATAATTTCCTTTTAAATTGCTCTGATAGCACTTATAAAACCACCATGCTGCGTGGAATCTCTTTGCGCAGCTTCCACCAAATTCCTTCACAACTTGATCATTGTCAACATCTCGAGTGGAGAATTTTTTATTGTTATGTTTAATCATTCCATCACCGGCGTCTCCCTCGTAACCCCCGATATGTAATTTGTAACCTTCATCTTCATCATCAACTACAAACGTGCTATATTCAGCGTATCTACTGTTTTTATCCCAGTCCGTCATCTCAGTTCTAAGTGTGTAGTGATCCTGATTTGTCAGTCGGTGTATCACGTTGTTCCCGAGCCAATGTTTTCCATATACTCCTACAAAATAATAAACGAAGAATAAAATAAAACAGCTACTTTAAATATCTCTATGATGCGAATAGCTTGAAAGGCAAAACACAAATTGCTATGCGAGAATAGTATTTCTTTGCAATTTGAAAATTTCTTTCATAATATAATGTAACAAAAAGAAATAATAAAGTAGGGAAATGATAGACATGATTGATGTTTATTTATGTACTCCCAATTTTCTTTCGGCGTACTAGTATGTAAAATGTGAAGATAAAAAACAATGTTCAATCTCATAAATCCAGTAAACAAAGCGAATCGTGAACAGGCAAAACATGGAAAAATCAAATTGTGAACGGGCAAAGACGAGCGTAATCAAATTGTGAACAGGTACAGACGTGGAAAAATCAAATTGTGAACAGGCACAGAGGTGGAAAA